TGGTGATGATGGTGATGATGACGAGAACGAGGGCGAGGACAAATAATGGTGATGATGGTGACGATGGGGAGGATGAGGAGGAAGAGCGCTGATGATGGCGAGGATGATGATGATCATGAAAAAAGGAGGATGAGTACTGGGCATGATGACGACGACGACGATGAGGATCAGGAGTAGGAGGCGAGGTGATGATGACCATGATGATGTTGGTGATGGTGATGATGATGATGATCCTGGCGAAGGGGGAGTGGGGGGTGGGGGGGGGGGGGGGGGGGGGGTGAGGATGAAGGGGGTGGGGCGGGTGGGGTGGGGGTGGGGGGGGGGGGGGGGGGGATGGCGATGATGATGATGATGGCGGCGATGATGATGATGATGTGATGATGAGGGGAATGTGCGATGATGATGGTGATGGTGATGATGATGGGGGGGAGGAGGAGGATCTGGAGTAGGAGAGATGACGATGATGATGGTGATGATGAGGATGAGGGGGGGGGGGGGGGAGGGCGACGACGACGAGGGAGAAGAGGGGCAGGATGAGGGTTAGAAGGGGGCGGGGGCGCTTTGATGCAGTGCCGGTTGCATTTTGAATCTGAGTTCTGAGGTTGATCTTGGCGGCGGTGGTAAGACGTAGAACATGTTGTTGCCGTTTTATCTCAAACCAGATTGTTATTGCAAAGCCAGCTTTTTGCTTGCAGCTTGGCGCCTTTTTGGATTTCTCGTGGCCGCGGCGTTCGCCAGTGACGTGAAATCCATGGCAGAGGGGGGGCAGGACATCGTGGACAAGGTCATCGACGAGAGCGCTGGGGGCGTCGTTGACCACCCGGCGGCGCGGGCCCAGGAGGCGCAGGGCGAGCCTCTGGCGTGCCAGTTCTCCCGAGTCTTTTCCCGCAAGCAGTTCGACTGGGGCGGCCTCTCTCAGGTCTTGGACGGGCGGGGGGGGCCGATGATCGCAGAGGATGCGATGCGTGTGCTCACGTCGCACCGCGAGTGGTGCGAGGCCGACTTCGAGCGCGCGGTGGTTCAGATGCGCGCCCGCTTGCAGGGGCCCCTGGCGGCGGCGGAGACGAAGTGCTGGCGGGCCGCGACCGCGGAGGGCGACGGCGATGCGATCTCGCAGCAGTTAGGCCAGCTCCTCGAGGCCGACGGGATCGGCGACGGGCAGGCGAGGTCGAGCGGCGCTGCCGCTGGGAGCGCCGCCCCCGCGGAGCCGCCAGGCGTGGGCGCGCCCCCCGCGGGCGGCCATGCGGGCGACGGCGTCGCGCAGGGAGATCGAGGCGGAGGGCGCAGGGGGGCGCGTGCGAGCATGGGCGACGCCGAAGACAGCGGCATGCACTGCTCGCAGGGCGACGCGTGGGGCGTCCCTGCAGTGCGTCGCAGATCGATGCGCGCGGAGGCACTGCGCCGTTACAGGGCGCGCGTGCTAATTTTTCATGCCGTTGTCGTTTTAGCCCCGCGCCCGACAGGGGTCCGATCTGGGCGAGCAGCGCCGACTGGGCAGACAGATCGTGGAGGCGCGGATGCAACGTGAAAACATCAAGTCGGGTGGGCGGGGCTGCGCCAGGAACGGATTTAGGCCAGACGTAGGACTCGATGCCGAGCGCGACGTGCATCCGTTGCGGCGACTTCCACGACGGCGTGGACGCCGCCAAATCCCGCCTGAGCGCCATGCGCTTCGGCTGACGGATCAGTAAGCAGAGTGGGTCTGTGTCATTCTAGGAATCTGTTAATGGGCACTGGCTTGCCCTTGTACTCAGGTAGTAATTTGCTGGCTCTGTGCGCGCAGCAATCTGTGGGGGGCGCGTCGGCGGCGGGGTCTCGGTGCGAAAACGATGCGCGCGGACAGACGCCAGCGGCGCCGCGGATTCGTCGCGCATCTGGAGCAGAAGTAACATCAGCAGATCACCTAGTAGAAATAGGCATACGACGCTGCTGTATGCGTAAGGTCAGGGGGATGTGTAGGACAATGAGCAAACGCGCGAGCATGACCTAAGTATTATATTAGTAATTACATAAGTACAAATACGGCCGCCACTGCTAGACCTGATATTTCCGAATGCGCGCGCCGCAACCGTGCGCGCGAGCAAGCTCGCGCCATGAGATGCCGCGCAGGAAAAACACGTTTTGGCGCGAGACAACAGCGCACGCCACATACTCTTAAATCTCACCCCGGGGGGGGGGGGGGGGGCGCATTCCAGGCCTTCGAGGACAAGGCCGAGTGGAACCTATATTGGGCCGCCAACGTCGTGTTCATCCGTGGGCCTGGAGGGGGGGGTCGTCCGATTGGGTTGCGCTTCTGTTTATGAAGCTACGGAGGCGGCCGATGCGTCGAGACTGGGGGCGCGCTCGCAACGTGGAGTTGTGCTGGCGGAGCGGGCCGGCGACTGCCCGCGAGCGAGCGGGGTGGTCGCGCGGCCTCGTGGCCTCCCCCCGTAGACCCCTCTGCGCGCAGAGTGTCGCTGTGATGTTGGACGTGGTGAAATTCCATCAACGCGTTGGCCACTCGGACCTGTTCGCCGCCTACCGCCAGTGCGATTTCGACTTGGAGCTATCGCGGGCGCCGGTGAAGAGTTAATCGGGGCGTCGGGGCCAGGCGGTCGGATGTCGCCATCTCCGAGTTCGTTCAGGCCACGGGGGCGGCGGTCGCAGGATGTTTGGCCGCGGCCACGTTGGCGAGGCTTCTCCCCGGGGCCCGCTCTCGAGGGCCGTGCGTTGCTGGCCTCCGTTGAAGGTCCGCAACGCAGTGGGCGACGCGTCGTTGTGGCGTTTCCCCCCCGCCTCCCCCTCCAGGCGGCGGTCGGGGGCCAACTTCCCGGAGCTGTGGGGCAGCTGGCCGCCGCTCCGGGCGGGGCCTGGTCTGCGTCGGCGGGGGGGTTCGGTTCTGGCGGTCAGAAGCCGTGGGGCCGATTCTAATCTTGGAGGCCTTGGGGGAGTCGGGGTTCTTGCGGCCCGGTGGAGTTAGGCGCCCAGAGCAGCGGGTTGCCTGGCGTGACTCAGGGAAACTGGGGCGGACGCTACGTGGATTCAGAGGTGGTCCCACGGCGTCGGCGCTGCGGGGCGCGAGCGTGATGGGCGCGCCGCCGTCCGGGTTGCGTCGCGCGTGGCTGGCGGCGCGCAAGCGCCCTGGGCGCCTGCCTCGTGGTGCCGCTGTGGGGCTTCGATCGACTGGGCTCGTGCGCGGATGGGTCGCTTGTGGGCCGGTGGATTCTCTCGGCGGGCCTGGCGGGGCGTCGACGTGGCTCGGTTGGTTGGGGCGGGTCTGGGGCCCCGGGCCCCTGTTCTTCGAGGCGCCCGAGGTGGCCCGAGGGCGGCGCGGTAAGTCGGCGCGACCATGGTCGGCGGCGGCGTCTCCAGCTGGCCGCGCGCTGGGTTCGCGGCGCCTGGCCCCTGCTTTCGGCGAGGAGCTTGCTGGGCTATATGGGGCGGGGCTGGGCGCCGCCAGTTCTTTGGTCCAGGTTCGCGACGACGATCCGCGGGGCTCGAGCCAGCTGGTCAAAGCGCCAGCAGTGGGCCCGTCGGGGGTAGTAGTAGTAGTAGTAGTAGTAGTAGTAGTAGTAGTAGTAGTAGTAGTAGTAGTAGTCGCCAAAGTAGTGGTAGTAGTAGTAGTAGTAGTAGTAGTAGTAGTCGTAGTAGTAGTAGTAGTAGTAGTAGTAGTAGTAGTCGTAGTAGTAGTAGTCGTAGTTTTAATAGTAGTAGTAGTGGTAGTAGTAGTAGTAGTAGTAGTAGTAGTAGTAGTAGTAGTCGTAGTCGTAGTCGTAGTCGTAGTCGTAGTTGTAGTACTAGTCTGAGTAGGAGTAGGAGTAGGACTAGGAGCATGGGTAGTAGAAGCAACAGGAGGCTGAGCAACATGAAGAACTGGCGACACGCAACATGTCGAGAGGAGCAGCGTCAGGATACTGGTTCACGTGACATGAGGAGGATGCTGGATACGCTAGTAAGGCCCATGAGACAGCACTTCTTCCCTGAGCGTTCGGGAAGAGTCCTTGAGCGCTACCGAACGGCCGCGGCGTAACTCTGCCTGATCACGTCTCTGTCCTGCCTTGGTCTTGGGAGGATGAGAGGGATCATGCTGAGGAGGGCGTGTGAGCAGGGTTTGGCGGAAGCAGATGATGAGGAGGGGGGAGTGATGTTGTTGTTGATGATGATGATGATGCTGATGATGATGATGGTGACGATGACGATGCTGATGATGATGATGATGATGATCATGATGATGATGATGATGATGATGATGATGATGATGATGATGATGATGATGAGTGTGATTATTATGATTCTTAATATTTTTAACGATTGCTATTATTATTATTAGTATTAATAATATTTTTACTATTATTATTATTTTTATTATTTATCATTATTATTCGTATTTCTGTTATTGTAGTGATGATCAGCCTTGTTTTTTTTACGATGATGACGATGATGGTGAAGATGCTGATGATGATGCTGATGCTGATGATGGTGATGATGATGATGATGCTGATGATGATGATGGTGGCGATTATGATGATAACGATGCTGCTGCTGATGATGATGCTGCTGATGATGATGATGATGATGATGATGATGATGATGATGATGCTGATGATGATGATGATGATGATGATGACGATGACGATGCTGATGATGATGATGATGATGATGATGATGATGATGATGATGATGATGATGATGATGATGATGATGATGATGATGATGGGGATCGTGATGATGGGGATCGTGATTTTGATACGGCTGCTGCTGCTGGCGTTGATGATGGTGATGATGGTGGTGATGGCAATGCCGATGCTGATGCTCATGCTGGTGCTGCTGCTGCTGCTCATGGTGATGACGATGGATGATGACGGATGATGAGGAGGAAGAGGAGCAGCTGGAGACGGAGGCAAAACGAGGAGGGTGAGGCGAGAGAAGGAGAGATGGATGAGCAGGAGGAATTGGAGTGGAGTGGAGGGTCGCACAGGGCGGCGGCCCGCCAAGCGCGCCCCCTGCGCGGCCGACTGGAGGCGCCCCGCGAGCTGCGCTGGGAGCTCGCGGCGTTCGGGCCCGACTTCCTCGTGGCGCGCTTCCGCCTCGCGACAGTGGCGAGAACGGCGACGACGGCGGCGAATGCGGCGATGACGACGACGAAGGCGGCGGCGGCGGTGTGGGCGGCGGCGGCGGTGGCGGCACAGACGGCGAGGATGGCGGCGGCGCGACGACGGACAGCGGTGTTGGCGAGCGTGGGCACGGGCGCTCTGCACGGTGGCGGCGGCTGCTGGCGCCTGGGCCCCGCAGCGCCCCGCCCGCCACGTTGTCGTTCCTGTTCGTCTTCGCTGTCGTGGTCTTCCCCTTCGTCGTCATCGACGTCCTCGCCGATGTCCTCGCCGTCGCCGTCGCCGTCGCCGTGGGCGTCGGCGTCGGCGTCGGCGTCGGCGCCGTCGCCGTCGCCGTCGCAGTCGCCGTCGTCGTCGTCGTCGTCGTCGTCGTCGTCGTCGTCGTCGTCGTCGTCGTCGTCGCCGTCGTTCTCGTCGTCGTCGTCGTCGTCGTCCTCGTCGTCGTCGTCGCCGTCGTCGTCGTCGTCGTCGTCGTCGTCGTCGTCGTCGTCGTTGTCGTCGTCGACGTCGGCGTCGGCGGCGGCGGCGGCGTCGGCGTCGGCGCCGACGAGATGAGTCGTCGTTGGCGTCGTTATCGTCGTTGTCCTTATCCTCGTCCTCGTGCTCGTCCTCGTCCCCTTCGTCGGCCAGGCGTCACTTGTCTAGGCGCCGTTGCCTAGGCGCAGTCCTCGCCGTCGTCGTTGCCGTCGCCGTGGCCGTCGCCATCGCCGTCGCCGTCGCCGTCGCCGTCGTCGCCGTCGACGTCGACGTCGTTGTCGCCGTCGTCGCCGTCGTCGTCGTCGTCGTCGTCGTCCTCGTCGTCGTCGACGATCCCAGTCCTGGGTCGGTGTGCGCGCCATGGCCCGGCGCTCCCCCGTTCGCAGGCCCCGCGGCTGCCGTCTCTCGGTCTGGCACTCCGCCCGTTGAGGGGCCGCTTCCCCTCCAGACCTCCCAGGTGGGATCCGAGCAGATGGGTTTCGAGGATCGCGGCGCTTCGCCGATGCATCGCCCATGCAGCTCGGTGTGGGATCCCGACGTTCTCCACGTCGGCATCGCCGATGCGCCGCCGACGTCGCCGATGCGTCGGCGATGCAGCGGCGATGCGGCGCGACCCTCCCGTCCCATCCACTTGGGCCCCATGTTGGAGCCCTCGATCCTCGCGCGCCGAGCGCGAAGACCACCGTGTTGCAGAGCACGCGTTCGCCGAGGAGGAGGTGTGCACCTAGCTGGCTGTGCCTGGGAGCGTACCGCCGAGACGCGCCTCGGATCCTTCCACGGTTTATCCTCCGGCGCTTTCCGGGCGCTCGTGGGGCCAAGCAGGGTCCTCGTTCCTTGTGGCGCCTTGATCGTGCCCGACGATGCTGAACCCAGTAGCCTGGCCGGGGGAGGGCGACGAGGAGGAGCTCCAGATAGGGGCGGGGCCACCACCAGCGTCACTTCCCTGCTGTCTCAAGAGGAGGAGGAGGTTTTCGGATGTGCTCGGCAGTCTTGGGACGTTTCTGGTGGTCGTCGCGTGCTTTCAGATCTCTCGTCAGGGGGTCTGCGGATATTGAGGGGTTCACACCCGTGAAGATCCATGCTGCCCTAAGGTTGCGAGGACAACCGAACTTAACGTTCTCCAGAGACGTCCTCGCGAGGGTGCGAAGATAACCGCGCGTCGTGCATCGCCAAGCGCGATTCCAGGCATCTTGGTGTACATCTGTATATGTGTGTGTATATATATGGTCGAGGGTTTGGGCCCCCCCCCACAATGCTAATGTCATCGGCCCCCCCCTTCCCGCGCGATGCCCCCCCCCTGTGGGCGTGGGCGTGGCGTGGTGGCTCCCCCCCCCTGTGGATGTGGTCTGGGTGTGGTGTGTTGCTGTGGGTGTGTGCGGGGTGACGCCATGGTCCTCTTCCCCCCCTCCCTCCCCCCCTGTGGATGCGGTGTGGGTGCGGCGTGTGGCTGGGATTGGCGTCATGTTGACAGCTCCGGTGCTCGACGTCGTCGCCGCCGCCGCTGGTGGTGCCGTCGTCGTCGTCGTTGTCGTCGTCGTCGTCGTCGTCGTCGTTGTCGTCGTCTTCGTCGTCGTTGTCGGTGTCGTCGTCGTCGTCGTCGTCGTCGTCGTCGTCGTCGTCATTGCCGTCGTCGTCGTCGTCCTCCTCCTCCTCCTCCTCCTCCTCCTCCTCCTCCTCCTCCTCCTCCTCCTCCTCCCCCTCTCCACTTCATCTGGGGGGGGGGCCGAGGACCCTGGGACCCATCCCATCTGGGGGGGGGCCCGAGGACCTGGAGCCCGCGATCAGATATACATAGATGTATGTATGTATGTATGTATGTATGTATGTATGTATGTATGTATGTATGTATGTATGTCTGTGTGTGTATGTATGTATGTATGTATGTATGTATGTATGTATGTATGTATGTATGTATGTATATATATATATAGTGTAAACACGTCTATGAGGCGTCACGTGTCAGCGCAAGTCGCCCCCATTTGGCAGCTTGCGGTATCCCGCACCGCCTGTGAGCACACCGGCTCCCGGTGCCCGAGGCTGCCTGCGCGCTCCTCCCGAAGCAGATCCTACGGCCGAGGCCTCTTCCCCTCCTTCCTCCTCTCAGGAGGGGAAAACACACACAGACACAATTCATCGTCGATCCCCAGGAAAAGAAGTATGGAAAAATAGGGCAAGTGGGGGGGAAGACGAAAAGCCAGAAAACATGGGAAAATATGGGGAAATCGTGTTAGTTGTGTGTAGTTCTTTGTGTGTCCCAGGGCCCCTTCCTCCTCTGCGGCCGCCCTCTCCCCCTCCAGCCGTTCGCGCGTGCCCGAAGCCCCGGCGCTGCCCGTCGGCTGCTCGAACGCGTGCGCGCCCGCTCTCGCCGCCGACACGAGCTTCGCGCACCTCGACGCCGCTCGCGCCAAGTGGTTCTCGCAAGAGTTTCGCGCAGCTCGACGCCGCTCGCGTCGTGCCTTTTCCTCGGGAGCGCGCTGGCGAGCTGCCGGGGGGCCCTCAGGAGGCCCGGACAAGCCGAGCCCGCGGGGGCCGGTGCCAGAGCGCGGCCCTGCCGAACACGGGGCCCGGCCCCGTGGCCCCAGACCCCCCCCCCCCGAACAAGGCCGCGCACCAGAGATGTCACCCTCCTCCCCCTCCTCCTCCTGCTCCTCCTCCTCCTCCTCCTCCTCCTCCTCCTCACCCTCCTCCTCCTCCTCCTCCTCCTCCTCCTCCTCCTCCTCCTCCTCCTTCCTCCCCTCCTCTCCCCCCCGCTGCCCTTACCCCTGGCCCCTCGTCCTCCCGCTTCTGCCGTGAGCAGCGTCCTTGAAGGGGGAGCGCATGGGTCCCCGGTCGTCCACTCGATTTGGGGTTGGGGCCGAGACCCCACCCCGCCCAGGAAGGTTCGGACTACGCGGCGAGGCGCGAGGGGACCGACGGTGCGGCGTCGTTCGTCTCCGTCGTCGACGTTCGTCGACGCCGTCGTCGTCGCCGTTGTCGACCGGCGGCATTGGCTCGCGTCGCCCGACCGCCGCCCCCAGCGTGGACCACGCAGGACCCATCACAGTGCAGGACGGGCTCAGGCGCCTCCGGCCGCACGGTCCCCCTTGGCCCGCCCGAGCCGCCGGCGCGCGCCGCGCGCGATCGGGAGTGACCCGGTCCGAGGGCGCGTCCGCCGCCGCCGCCGCCGCCGCCGTCGTCGTCGTCGTCGTCGTCGTCGTCGTCGTCGTCGTCGTCGTCGTCGTCGTCGCGGCCGCCGTCGTCGTCGTCGTCGTCGCCGTCGTCGCCGCCGCCGCCGGTGCCGCCGCCGTCGTAGCCGCTGTTGCCGCCGCCGTGGTGGCCGCTGTTGCCGTCGTCGTCGTCGTCGTCGTCGTCGTCGTCGTCGTCGTCGTCGTCGTCGTCGTCGTCGTCGTCGTCGTCGTCGTCGTCGCGGCCGCCGTCGTCGTCGTCGTCGTCGCCGTCGTCGCCGCCGCCGCCGGTGCCGCCGCCGTCGTAGCCGCTGTTGCCGCCGCCGTGGTGGCCGCTGTTGCCGCCGTCGTCGTCGTCGTCGTCGTCGTCGTCGTCGTCGTCGTCGTCGTCGTCGTCGTCGTCGCTGGGGGGCGGCCGACAGACTGGGGGGCACGGTTTGCGAGGACAGGGGGCTAGCGGGGCTTACGGGGGCAGGAGGAGGGAGGGTTCCCCCCTCGCTCCCTCTGCCTCCCTTTGCCTCCCTCCGCCCTTTGCCCTTCCCCGCCCCTCCCCTCCCCTTGCTCCTCCCCCCGCCCCCCTCCTCTTTCGTCGGCGGCGGCGGCCGCCGCCGCGGCCGCCCTCGTCGTCGTCGTCGTCGTCGTCGTCGTCGTCGTCGTCGTCGTCGTCGTCGTCGTCGTCGTCGTCACCGTCGCTCCCCGCCGCCCCCGCAAGGCGCACCAGCTGCCAGTGTCCGAGCGGCGCCAGCGCCCCCCGCGGGAGGCGCGAGGGCGCGCGGGGGAGCGCGGGGCCGGCGCGCGCTCTCGCGGGGAACTGGCTCCTCTGGTCGTCGGGCCCTCCGGTCCTCCGGCCCTCCCTCGCTGGTCCTCGGGTCCTCTGTCGGGCCGGGCGCAGGAGGGCGGGGGATGGGGGAAGGTCGAGCAGGGACCGACCGTCCGGGCGTTCCTATAGTCCTACCACGAAGTGTTCTTAGAACCCAAATATGTTCTAAGAACAAAAACACTGTTCTTAGAACATAAGCCCGATGTGATAAAACAAGACAGACTTCGCCAGAAATGTTCTAAGAACAGGTCGTGGAAGCCACAAACGGTTCTTACAACATTGTTTGGTGGGGCTATAGGCGAGCCAGGACGCTTCGCCACTGCTTGAGAAGGGGGGGGGTACGGAATCTGCAGCGTGCAGCTGGTTTCGGCCCCACCGAGGGGCCCATTGCTCGATGCATGGGCGCCTCCCGGCGCCGGGAGGCGCCAGAAAATCAGCTACTCCGAGTTTCTTAATGAGCCTCGGGGGGGCGTCACCCCCGCCGACAGCCCCACGTAGACCCC